ATATGTGGGGGGCATGGCTACCTATTCAAACTACCAAAAAAAGGGGATTTAAGTCACTGTAAGCACTGCAGCAGCATTATGCTCCTGTCCATCCCAAGCAAAATACTAAGCCGCATTATCCTTGAAGGAATTGAACATCCGCTGGTTGAGTGACTTCGACTGGAACAGGCTGGATTCGTGAGAAATAAGTCATGTATCGATCAAATCGCAGCACTACCTATCATCATTGAACATAGCTTAGGATGTCAGTCAGCTCTCTATCTCAAATTCATTGACTTTGGAAAGGCCTTCGATAGCGCAGCGTCAATCGACAGTTGATTTGGCAACTACTGCGTCCAACAATTATATATCTCATCCAACAGTTGTATGACAATGCTGCATGTCGAGTAATTCACAACGGGAAACTCACGGAATCCTTCGAAGTGAGGATGGGAGTAAGACAAGGATGTGTATTATCTCCAATGATTTTCCTGACTGCAGTAGACTGGGTAATGTGACAGACAGTAGGCAGCGAGGAAACAGGCATAAAATGGACCCACACAAAAAACTTGGAGGATCTGGACTTCGCCGATGATTTATGTCTGATTTCCCATAAACTGGAAGATATGTAAGTGAAAAGAAACAAGTCGACAAAAGAAGCAACAAGAGAAGATATGATTTCGGGGGATGAAGATTCCCGGCCAACTGCATCATTAACTGACAACAATCAGCATAAGTGGGGGAAATCTGAAAGAAGCAACCCCCTTTATATACTTGGGAAGCATTGTTTTAGCTACAGGCGGACGGAACTGATGAGGATACCAAAGCGAGGATCAGTAAATCAAGGCAAGCTTTCATTACTCTCAAGTCTGTGTAGAGATGAACAGCACCCAGCACGGAAAATAAGATGCGAATTTCCAACTCCAGTTTGAAGTCAATGCTACTATACGGATCAGAGACTTGGCGCGTCACGAAGGGCACTTCGAATAAACTACAGACTTTCATCAACAGCTATCTTCGTTCACTACCACTCAAGATGAGATGGTCGGCCAGAAAAGATCAGCAACAGGGATCTCTGGGAGCGAACCAACCCAGCAGGAACCGATTGTGCGACAAATGAGCGGGAAGAAATGGAGGTGGATTGGCTATACACTGAGAAAACCATCAAGTGACATCACACGCCAGACTCTCGAGTGGGATCCGAATGATAAGCAGCGAGTTGGTCATCCGATGGTGACATGGAGGAAGTAAGGCTAAGAGGAGATGAAAGCTTGTGGGCGGATGTGGAGCCAGGTGAAAACGTTGGCAGAGAACCGAACGCGAGGGCGACGTGCATCTGAAGCCCTATGTTCTTTCAGGAACTAAAGGAGATAATAATAATTTTGAATACCATCTCCACATTATTTTGGTGTATTGCCTGTACAACCCCTCATTCATTGAATATTTTCAGTTACATTAAGTAGTAGTCAGATCTAATTGTCTGTTCACTGGATTGTTTATTAAAATCATTTTACCAGATAATATAACTAAGTGTTTGCGTTCTGAATAGAGTAGTCATGCATACAATTGATTCTGCACTTACCAAGTTACGGTCACAAGGATTTCATTTAGTCACGTTGGAAATCGTTTACTCGAAATAGGTTTTTTATGTAACCAGGTTGTGAGCTGAATTTTTTGTGAGGGCTAACCAAATAACCAGAGAGAACTAGGCAGCAGCAAGATTCTGGACTTATCGGCTGACAGTTGGGTGCTTAAACCGATGAACTCTCATATTGTGTAGTGTAGTGCACTGGTGTCTAATTGGTTACTCAGTTGTATCAGTATATTTCTACAGCTAAGGAGCTTAATAAACTTTACGCGGGATGATATTACGAAGACCGTGGTCACTGAATTGAATTACTGTGTATATGTGTCATTCATGTCCATATTAGTTTCCACTCATAATTAAGTATGCTAATCTTATACAGTATATTTAGTGGATTTAGAAGTGTAGTATTATAAATTCTCTACTCAATATATGTAATGAATATGTGCTACTTATTTCGTAAGACTGCAATATGAGAAGCCTAGATAAATATTAACATGAGTTACTGTGCTTAACAACCAAAGCTTAGATCGGTGCGTTGTAGCACTCTGTTTCCATTTATTTTGCTAATAATGTCGTACATTAATACAAGTTTATCACATAACCGCCATATGTTTCTCTATTTTCCTTCAAATTAAAGGGTTATAACGATTATTTGTACAGCTACATTTAGTTTTCTAACCGGACCAGCTATCTAATTGCTGATTTAAGTGCAATAAGATTTTCTTATTACTTTCATATTGTTCTATCTAATTATCACTATATTCAGGGTGTTGGGAATTCTCATGTGATGTCATGTGATTTAAGTCAACGAAGAGATCTCTTTTCATAACTCCTCTTCAAAGCTGTACAATTATTTATGGGTTTGGTTTATATATAGAAGATGCTAGTGGGTTTCTGCTACTTCATCAGAACCGATGGGCGCAGGAAGATTGATTTCAGTGGGATCCGAATATTATGAGGAGCGAAAGCTGCTCAAATGTGAACTGACAAAAAGTCTTCACAACGACCGTGAGCAGTGGCGGGCGAAAAAAGCAAGAGATGGAAAGGGCATCGGCGACAGGTTAAAGCCAGACAGCTACTTAGACTTACGAGGGAAACAGGTGGCAAAAGGAGAATGATAGGTGAAACAATCTCCGAGAAAAATATCACCCTAATGATTGCAGTTTTATTTTTCCATTTTTTGCTCTAAATTTGAGAAATGTGCAGAGACTTGTGTTGATAGGTTGGGCAACCATTCAACTGTTAATAAGCGAAGTTTGAATAGTTTGATTGATGATGAACGACTAGTGATAGTGCGTCGGTAGCATAGCAGTTAGGACGCTCGCCCACCATGCACATGGTCCGGGGTCCGACCACCGGCTGGTGCACTCCTTTAACTCACTAAGCCAGAAATAAAGCTGGTGAAGAGGAAAGGTTAGGCATGCGGCTAGCAACCCCATCTTGTAAAAATAAACACTGCTACAGAAACTTCAAGCCTCTAGCTTGAAGCACTATGTTCCACTGGGAACGTGAAGGAATAAAAAAAAGACTAGTGATAACCTGATGATAATGCCTACGTCGTGGTTTACGCAGATAATAGTGTCAGACTGACTTAGCGATATGAACACTTATCTGTGATTGACCAACATACAATAAAAACTAACATAATTACACTTGAGCGATCAAGCTGAATGACTTAATTTTGTTGTGACTAATAGTAGATATATAATTATAGACATAGGTTGTACTTTTTATCAACAGTAATCAGGAAGGACTGACTAAAATGTTGAGAAAATTAATTGCCTATCTGTAGACCAATTCAACCCTACTGAAAATTAGTTACAGGAGAAATAACCCCAGTGATGAGATATTTAGATACAGTCTGTGGATAACTAGCATTCATGTTACTGAGACAATTTCACAGTAAAATGCATAACAGATAAGATGCTACCTAATGAAGAAATCAGTAAAAGTTTTTGATAAATATATATTGTTCACACGATAATTGATGTACCAACGATTTTTCAAGTAAGTGCAAGGAAAACGTTTTCCTTCATGAGGCTAACACGGAGATGAAGGTAGCGGACAAATGATGAATTGATGAAGAAACCAAGTGAAGCAAAATCTAGTCAGTGCATATTTAAAAAGGATTATTTACTTATCACTAACATTATATATATATATATATATATATATATACCATTAGATGGTTGGAGGCAATCGGCAAGAGGCCTTGGAGCTAGGTTTTGTGCCTCCTGGCGCTCGTCAGCTACGCATATCTGCAATCTTGAACGAACTGATATCTCTTCTGAGATCCGAATATGTGTCACCCAGTGCTGCAGTCAGAGATGTTATCCCTGAGCCGTTACGACCATACTGGATACTAGGTAGTAAATTTGCTGAAACACCAAATGATTCAGATATCTGAGATGTCTATCGAAAGCAAACTGATACGAAATAAGATAAAATAGTATCTGTCAACCAGTTATTTTGAAATTAGTTAGTATTTATTCAAAGTAGTAGTTGTATGTATAGTGAAATCATTAAAAATGGAAAAGTGAATTAACCATAGAAAACCCACAAGAGGATAACAATTCATTTTATAAAGCGATAACTCGGGGATGAATATTTTAATCTATACTCTAATATGATCACACTAAAAGAACTTGTTCTACATTACATTACGTAATAAGCAGCTAAGAGATATATTGGTAATCAAAACCTATTTTTGACAAATAACACAAACGATTTTAGGTAGCCACACAAAAGGCTTAAAAACAAAACAGCAGTCAAACAACTGCGGCAGGCGAAATTCGAACGCGAGCCTAAAATGGTTTTAATCAGATTAGCTTTAACATTTTAATGGGTTGACACCATTTTTCCTCTGAATAAAATGTATAAATCCTAAACTAGTGTAACAACAGAAGACAAGGGCCAGGCAACAGATCGTTTTATTATGAAAATCAACACGTATTTATACATCTTTCAACTACATTATTATAGACAAGCGCAGTCATCTGATTGGTTGTTTAGGTAGACAAACGCAGGCTTCTGATTGGTTGTTTACTCAGGCTTGTTCATATTTTCTCACGGCCCATATTAGTGACCTAGACCTTAACGTAGATTAGTGCCAACCAATCGGCTAGCAGCCTGCTCTCACCACACTAGAATTACTTTATATAACGAATCACAATGCTTACAAGTGCAGTTTGCAGGAAAAGTGAGTGGTTTCCTGACCTATCAACGTAAGTCTTTGCGATAACTTCTCATATTTAGAACACAAAAATAGAAAAATAATAAAATTACAGTCATCGGAAATAAACAGTAGGGAGAATGATTAGATGAAGGTTAGTGACGTTATTTATTTGAGTGAACCATATTTTGTTTTAGCTGATACTTTTATACGTGAAAAGTTTTTTTGTTTACAAATTTTTGTTGTATGTTTTAAATTTAGGCAACTAAAATTTTACATAGATCAACGATTGCTTGGAAAATCTTCGGCAGATGCACTAACAGAATCACAGCGTCTTTGTGGTATTTCTGTGAATGAATGCCCCAGTTTCCCTCAAAATTCAATAGTCAATTCGCTAAATTTAAAGGTGAATGCTACAACTACTGCATTCAAGAAAAAAAGAAAAAAAAAGAAGTCAACTTCAAGAAGCTATAATAATTCTTTGTCTGAAGACGGTGAAAAATCTAGGTAGTGTTGCGTTAAAATTAAAATATTACGTTATATCATTAGTTTGAGAAATAAATAATTGATTAAAAATCCCCAATAGAATTTTTCAAAAGAATGGATACTGAACAAATAGTACTTCAACATCAGGCTCCACAGTTATATATACATTATAGTAAATAAATGAGTTAGTGTTATGAACAACATTAATGCTGTTTAAATAACATCGAATCAATAATATCGATAGATTACAGCTCAATAGCATCAACATAAAATAAGCTGAATGTCAGAAAAATTAAGAAAGATAATATTACAAATTCATGAATTTATAGTCTCTACTGAAGGCCAAGACAGTAGTAGGGACTGGACTTACTTCTTTTGAACACAGAGCACTGGTTGTTTGAGGCTGATTGCAATAACCTCTGCTGTTTGGAGCATGCGGTGCTTCGATGATTTTGCCAATTTATTAGGCACCTGGTAGATTATAGAGAAGGATTCTTCCATGCTGGCTTTGTGGCTGGTTTACACCAGATGGTCCAATATCATTCACTATAATGTATATATAACTGTAGAGCATGATGATGAAGTTATTGAAAAGAGTACTATTTGTTCAGTATCCATTCTTTTGAAAAATAAATAATTTTCAGGAGTTTATTTGTAAGAATTAGATTTGTTTTTCAAGTTTGCCCACGGATTGATATCAGTTAGGTGAAACGAACGAATTTCGGTAGGAGAAAAAGCAGAATGAAGTTGGTAATAGAAGCTACCAATTATAAAATTATGCTCCCTCAATCTTTCTGTCTTCTAAATGTCTAAATGGGGATCTTTTCTATAATAAAATTATGCGACAACTAAAATTTTTTTACCACCCAGATGAGCCTTAGTTATTGTGTAATTACTCAATTTTCTACGGTGTCATGGTTGGCATTTTCAAATTAGCTAAAGGGTCCATCTTCACCCATCGACTTCATAAGTCACAGCATCCTGTAACAAGTCAGATAAAGGTAGATGATAGCGAATGAACACTTAATAGTTGTCTTCTTGCCTGGATAATTTGCATTGATGTCACTTAGTCATCAATGGTTCATGGGCCATTGAATCCGGTCCCAGTCGCTGGTGAGACATTACGACTGGAGACATCGGGATCATAATCACCAATGCTGATGCTGTTGTTATCCTGCTAGTTTTCAAACAATACCTTGTCATTCTGTTTATGTTAATTGAGCTATAACTTTTCTTATAAATTCACTTGATAAGTATATGTGTGATCGTACTGTTCCAAATCTATCGAGCCAATACACCATATTACACACATAATCTTTATCTTCTAATATTAGTGTTATTGTTGCTCCCTTGAGTTCCGAGTGGAACATAGGCCTTCAACAATGCATCTCCACTTTGTCCTGTTTTCTACCGTCCTCTTCAGGTGGGTATACGATTGACCAAACTCTCTCACCTCTTCCTCACACGATTTCCTCCACGTCACCGTAGAACGACCCACTCGTCGCTTCCCATTTGGATTCCACTCGAGGGATGGCCTGCATTGCACACGATGTCATTCGACAGTCTCCTCAGCGAATGACCAATCTATCTCCATTTTCTCCTACATATTTGTTGAGTGATCGGCTCTTGGTTGGCTTGTTCCCAGCCACAGTTTCTTGTTACTAATTCTTTCTGGCCTACTGATCGTATGATCTTCAGTATAGAGACAGCCAGGGAAGTGGATAGCTGTTGATGAAAGTCTGCAGTGGCCTGTTGGAAATCCTTTTCGTGACTCGCTCGCCAAGATTCTGACGCGTATGGAAGAAGTGACTTGACATTTGTATTGAAAATGCGAATCTTGTTCCTTATGTTGAGTTGGAAAGGAAAAGATTTCCGAACTGGTCTCAGGTTGATGAAGGTGTATCTCGCCTTTCCGATTCTGACTGGTTTTGACATCTTGATCCGTGTCATCCGCCTGTAGTTGGAAGGATGCTTCCTTCCTAGTCAGATAAGTGAAGGAAGTAACTTCTGTCCAGTCCCTCCCGGTGATGTTGATTGGTGCTGGTTTTTGTTGTTATTGTTGTTGTTGTTGTTGTTGTGGTTCGTTGGTTATCTTCATCACCTCCGTCTTGTCTACGTTCACCTGCAGTAGTCCTGTCTTCGCCGACTGCTTCTCCAACCAGTTTGTTGGTTTTCGCCTGTAAGTCTTTGAGTTTGTGTGATATTAGACATATATCATTCACTGGCGAAATCCAGACGAAATCTTCTAGAGTCTTCTTATCAGTCGTCCAGCGTATTCCTGTCTTCTCACTCACTGTCAACACACAGTCTGACGCCTTATCCAGTCGACGACGATTAATAAGATGATCGGTGATAATAGACAGCCGGACTTGTCTCACTCCTGTATGCACTTCGATCACCTACCTGAGTTTTCCGTTGTGGATGAAGTGATAGATATGTGTCACTGTCATATAGTCAGCTGTTGAATGAGGTTGATGAAGACGTGGTCACTGCACGGTGTAGTGTTGAAGTAGTTTCCAAGTGACGTCTCGGTCAAGGCTGTCTGTCGAATGGCTTTTCTAAGTGGATGAAGGAAGTAAAGGTAGAGGTAGAGGTTTGGGTGACATTCTATGCTTTGTTGTATGATGACGATGTAGAGAGTTGTAATTTGATGAGCACTGGATTAGCCTTTGGTGAGTCCAGGTTGTTGTGGTCGAGGAGGCGTGGCGGAGTTCTGTATCCAGTGCATGTTTTATTGTCTCTGGGATGATGCGACTTAGTATTTAATTTGGCGTGGACAAGGGCATGATTCCACTCGAGTTGTTTCAGAGTGAGGCGTAAGTCTCTCTTCCTTGGCAGCTTGATGAGGTAGCCTTTCTCCCAATCGGTGGTCACCTTTCCTTCTCTCCAAACCGTTTGCAGTAGTGACGTGAGCAAGTGTGCGTCAGTCTGTGGGTCGGTTTTCAGTGTTTCGGGAGGAATTTTGTCTGGTGCAGCTGCGTTCCCGGCCGGCTTTCAGTAGGTCGATCGCATTCAGGATTTCTCCTTTCGTCGTTGGAGTAGGAGTGGTGTCCCCTGTTATCCAGTTCCGTGTGTGTGTGTGTGTGTTGTTGTTGGTGGCGGTGGTGAGTTTCCGGTGGTGGTTGATTCCAGAGTCGTTTATAAAGTGATCAGCCCATTGTTTGATTTGTTTCTCCTCGTGGGTTGTCAGGTCTTCTTGAGCATCTTTTATTGGTTTGATCATCTGTGTTGATCTCTTCCCGGATAGAGACTTGGTTATCTGATATTGTGTCCTGATGTCTCGTTTTCCTGTGGCCTGTTGTGCTTGAGTTGACAGCCAGTGTGTCGTAGAATTGTCGTTTGTCTTCCCTAGAACTGTCCTCTCCTTCTTTATTCAGTGCAGTGTATATTGAACTCAGCTTGCCCTTCTCTTGTCCGTCTTTGCATTGAGTCATCTTCGCTTTCACCACCCTCCTCTCTTCGACTAGCTTCCTCTTCTCTTCCTAGAACAGTTGTACACGTTTCCTTGAATTTCGCCTTCAGAGCGTTAGTTCCAATGTTCTTCCACATACACAAGTTTCCTCAGTGATGCCACTTGGTGTCTCCGACTTTTCTCTGATCTGAACTGTAGTGGTGTCGCTTGTGGCTTTGTCCTTCAGTTTGTGAATGTTGAACTTGATATGTGGTGACCTGTCTCCAGTTGTTTTCAGGGGTTTCAGCTTCACCTTGAAGGTCCCTTGAACTAGATGATGGTGTGAGTGAGCCGGCATCTGCTGCCTTTCTCGAATTCGCATCCAACAAGCTAGTTAGCTGCGTCTCTGCTTACTTTCTTGAGGAATGTTGACGTGAAGTGTATCTGGTTTGTGGTGTGTCCATCAGGTTAAATCCGTGTTGGTTTGTGTTTATCCTTGTGTTTGAAGACGCTTCCTCTGATCACCAGATCATTGAAAGCGCAGAAGTCTGTGAATAGTGCTCCGTTCTCCGAGAGCCTCTCGACCGATGGTGAGTTATCTTATCTTCCTGTATTACATGCTCCCATCCCTGTCGGCGTTCATATCGCCCATGAGGTTCTTGCTGTTGTCACCATTTGGGATGTTGTCCATTACTGTTTGTAGTTGTCTGTAAGAATCCTGCTTCTTTTCTTGTTCCGAAGTTGTTTGTAGTACTGTGCGTAGTACTGCATGATAATTGTGACGTTCGTTCCTACCTGTTGAGTTGAATGTTGCTTTCATGATCCTGCATGAGGAGATTGGTTCCCAGCGCATTTGGACTTTGTTTGTCACTAGTGACATCGTTATAGCCACTCCAATGCCTTAGTGTGTTCGTTGGTTGTCTGTTGTGTGTCCATATATGAGTAGATTACTGACTCTGCAGTTGACAGTATTGTCAGTCCACATCCATTCCATCTGGACTCGGAGATACCCAGTACTTCAAAGGTATGTATTCACATCTCGTTGGCTACCTGGCCAGCCTTACCAGCAGTCAGCCTCGTACATTGTACGTACATTGCACGTTGCCATTCCTATTCTTGCTTTCATTGAGGGAAGCTACATCGGTTGAATGATTGGTTTCTCGAAAACTTTGACCAACCAGTTGTGTCATTTCGCCTCTTGAATTCAAGCAAAGAATGAGGTTGCTTTTGAAGTTTTTGTATTTTCAGTATATATTTTTTTGTGCGATGAGGTTTCTCTAGCGGTTTGAAAGACTTAGTGGTGTGGGATTGTTAGTCCCACACTCAACCTCCCCTCTTTACCCGGTCTTTGGACCGGCTAGAAAACTGGCCGTCGAATCAGCTAGGCGAGATCACCCTTTAGTTTTTCCCCTAGTGAAATAGTTTTTCGTCTATTATATGGAAGTACTGATTTATTTTAATTTTGCTGTTTCGTGTATAAAGCAATGACAATTTTTAAGGGGGAATGCATTGACAATATAATTTGAGAGTGGTTAAATTTATAAGCTCGTGCATTCAATTTTTAGGAAGGACTCACCTGACTTCTATCTATGTAAGTCGATTCATATCAATGTAGATAATCAGCGTGAATGAATGGCTTTTATAAAGTTTTAGCAGTAATAATAATAATGTCCAGTTTAAATTCAAAACGAAGTGTCACCGAGGCTGGCATTGTGTTGTCTACTTGCAAACTACTCCCTGGTAAATCTAAAAAATAGGACTTGAAAGTTTTTATATGTATATATATGGATGAAACCTTCATCATGTGTGACAAAGATTCCTGATATTTTATCCTTTCGTTAGAAATACTTGTGTTGCGTTTATCATGGTGTTACATTTATTCATATTTAACTTTTCGTTCTTATTCTTTTCGGTTTTGTTGTAGAGACCAAAAAAGCTGTAATAATGTATCCGCCACTGCTAATGTAAGGGTTTGTAAATATATTTGTTGTTTTGATTTTTTTAAAAGTTGACTTTTTCCATTTTTGAAGTTGACTAAGTTGTCAACTATCTGTGTCTTGTATTTGTGATTAAAAAGTTAGGATTACTGAATTTTCTTAACGAAATTATCCGATCATGAATAAGTAATTTAACCTGCCTAATAAACTTAAACACGTTCATAAGGTCAGTGACACGATCTGCCTTCCCTGTGAGTAATTCTACAGTTAACTTAAACACTATTCATTTTTTTCAACAGATACTTACTAAATGCGCTTCGGAATTTTTTATAGATGAAGCATCCACTTTCTCTTTAGTGCTGTGTTAGTGGTCGTTTTGGCCTCACCACCTTGTAGTAGTTTATTTGTAAATGTCTTCAAACAAACTAACACTTGTATGTGCCTTCAGATATAGAAGACTGAATAGTATTTAATTGATGGATATTGACTAGCAGTGGAATCCAGGATGTGCATTTCGTCTTATTTGGAACTCGTCCTTTGGATATACCTGCATTTCTCAGTGAGTGATGATGTTCCCACCAAGGCTCGAACGCAGAGCTCAGCAGGTACATCTAGCTGACGAGTCCCAAATAGGACGAAATGCGCATTCTGGATTCCACTGCTAACCACCATCCACCAATTGTTTACTAATTAAATGCCCAGACATCGTCGAAGCATCTGCACAAGAAGCCGACATGTCAACCTGAGACCGAGCACTTCGGTCCAACAAATCGATGGCAATATCTCAAATTGAGTTCAAAAAAGAAGACTGAATAGTCTATATTTCAGTAGGGTTTATCCGGCTGGAATGTATTAAAATGATTGCATATCCAGGATAAAGATACTTTGAGATGGCGAATTTCTGTACACTGTTTGACTTCTGCGAGCATTGAAATAGATGACAGTGTTCGTTTCATTTATGGAGAGAAATGCTTCATCTGAAAACTTGGCAAGTATGGAAGATCTGTATTCCAAACTATGTTATAGAACGGAAAGGTGATTCGTAGATTTTTTTTTGTATTTAAACGTGTATTCCATAGTCCACTATCAATTGATGAAGTCTAGAAGTTCAAGGAATAAAAAAACTGTATGAACTATGTGAACTAATCAAGTGGGATTGCAACACTACAACGCCAATCATTATTCAACCAGTTTCCTTACTTTTTTCTAATCAACATCCATGAGTAAAGTTACTGGCTATTCATAAAATCCTACATCCTCATCTTATTTTTAGATTCACAGAATCGAAGTTAGCTCTTCATGTAGTATGTTCTTGCATGCATGCATATATATATATATATATATATATATATATATATATAGAGAGAGAGAGAGAGAGAGAGAGAGAAAGAGGTTGTAGACCATAATGTTTATTTTTGTTTGTTTGTTGAATCTTCCTTTTCCCCAATTTTTACCCAGGTGAAACTGTTTTTCTTATCAATAATGGATACGAAAACACCAAACATTCAGAATACCCGCAATAATAATGTAAGTACTAATGATGCTACTGAACTGCAACTGGCAACATGTTGGCAATCACTTCAGCTTGACAACAATAAACTGTTGAAATGTCTGTGTGGTGATAAAATTCGATTGAATTCTAAATAAACAGTGAGCACATAATTTTCTTGAGTTTGGACAAGTGAAAGAAAGTATAGAATAAACAAGAGAAATGATATTTTGTCAGATTATTTTTAAAAGAAAAGGCATTTTTATATTATTCCTTTATTATGATCATTCATATCATCGTACCATATATATATATATTTCTGTGTATAATTTCTAATAAACGAAGTAATTTTCAGATTGTCTTTTTAGTACTGACTAGTTGTAGATACGTTTCATTGATTTTCAGAGCTTATCAGTGGCGTGTTTCAGGGTGTACTTCACCCCTTGAGTTGGTGATAATCAATTATACGTTACTCGAAGATAATAGATCAACTAAAGTCCATGCATTATTAATAGGCAGTGTAAATAAAAGCAGTTAAAGTAAGATCGAGACGTAGTTAGAAGCTATGTTTCGTAGTCCAACTGGCAGAAGGACTAGATGGTAGCATGAAAGTCTCTGGTTCGATAATACCAAGTCACAGAGCTGTGAAGCTAAGGAGATTATGGAGATAACGAGGTAAAGTTAAGTCGTAAACATCCAGAAGCGCGTATATACCAATGACCTTAGACTGAACGACTGAGACAAACAGGAAATTTGGGACCTTAATATATTCCTAATCAACACCAATATCTCCCTAATTAGGCCAGCGTAACCCAACGTGTCCCTAGCCTAAACCCTGACCATAGTCTTTTGCTAACACTTATCATATTTCCCGTGTCCATCTGGTGAAATCCATGTCGCCTTGTGTATATCCTTGTGTTTGAACACACTGCCACCAAACACCAAATCATCGAAGGCGCAGAAGTCTGAGAAGAGTTCACCATTGCCGTTCATTTCACCGAGGGCCTCGCGACCAGTGGTGAGTTCTCTTCCTATATTGTCTCCTCCAAGCTTCGAATTCATATCACCCATCAGGATTTTGGTATCGCCATTTGGGACGTTGTCCATTATTGCTTGTAGTTGTTTGTAGAACGCCTCCTTCTTCTCTTGTTCTGAGACGATTGTAGGCGCATAGGATTGAATGACTGTAACCTTCCTTCCTTTTGAGTTGAACCTGGTTGTCATTATCCTGGAGGAGATTAGTTCCCACTGGATGAGAGCTTCGATTGCTGTTGGTAACATCATGATGGCAACTCCCTCGGTGTGCTCATGGTTGTCCTCTGGGTGGCCGGAATAGATTATTGTCTCTCCAGTTGGTAGTTGGCACCTTCCACATCCGTTCCATCTGCTTTCGCAGATTCCCAACACTTCTATTCTATACCTTCTGATTTCTGCGGTTACGTGAACAACCTTTCCAGTTCCGTACATTGTACGAACATTTCACGTCCCCATCCTTATTTTTGCTTTCATCGAAAGAAGGCACATCGGCTGACTGGCTTCCTGAAGGCTTTCACCAGCCTGCGTCATTTCACTTCCCCGATTCCAGCGAAAAGTAAGGCTATTGCTTATGTTTTTAGAATTTTTAATATATTTATTCGTTGAAGTTTCTGTAGCGGTTTGGTTAAGTTTTGGGGGTGACATTGCTAACACCACGCCCCAACCCTCCCTCTTTATTCGGGCTTGGGATTGGTTAGAAAACTAGCAAGCTAGTAATCTAGGCGAGGTTACTTTTTCCATGAATATAGTGTTATTTATTCAGTTTAACTGCCTTGCTATAACTGAGAATTCCAAAGATATTGGTACATTTGCGCCTGTCGCGTACCTAGTCGTTAACATTGCTGAAAAAAAGATATCCTCTCTATAGAAATGTGAGTGGCCTAACGTTTTTTTTGGATCTGTGGAAGCAATGATCTGAACATCTGGAAAACTCTGGATTTAATGATAAGCTGTGGAATACCTGCACGTTTTCCTCAACTTTATATTCTATGAAAATGAATTCCCTTAAACTTGATTTGGAAATTGTGATGTGGTACACTGTAATCGGGATAATAACTGAATATTTTCAAGTGTTGGTGTCAGCTCATGATTAAATCCTCCATACAATAACTGAATAGTCTTAAAAAAGGAAATGTTTAACCTTCATTATTATTTTGTTGATTAAAAGCAATATCATAGGGAAAGAAGGTCATTGTGTACAAAACCAATAAACTAAGTCGATAGTGAGGTCAAATGTTAGAGGCAAAAATTAATTAATGATAATAGAAGTAAGAATTAAAAACGCACAAGAATAGCTAGAAAAAGTTAACACCAAAGGGAAAGAAAATTTTTGTAAGTTGCCTTGGTTATTTGCATTGCAGATCCTTCATGTGGCTTAAATGAATAAAAGCTTTTGTTGATACCTAAAATTTCAAAGTGTTAATTGTGTAATTTTTAAGCATCGTTTTATTGCTAAAAAGACATTCCACTAGTTTTTAGAGTTAATCATTAAATGTGTGAAGAAAACTATTGAGTAGGACAAGTGTCCCATGGTTCTCTCAGTCATGTCTGTTCGTTATAAAATCCACCTCGAAATTATTATCGCCTAATTCACTATTGACGTCTGCGATTACAGTCGAATTAATTATTCATCTACCTGTTGGACAGCTGAGCGATTCGTTGTGAGTGTTTCAGAATAATATTAACGCGTGGAAATATATACAGTCCCGAGAAGATCGCGGATGTAATATTTTCAGTGTTTTGCATTTTAGAAGACTGAAATTTTCTTGCTGGTGGACATTCATTTAATAATTTGCGATGTGATGCGAAAGTTAAATACATAGTCAATAAGGGTTGATCACACTTACAACTCGAATCTCTCTGGCTCATCATTAACCCGTCAAATGGTTAATAATGTGCCTTTATGTATCTCTTCCTTCGGCTGATTTCAAAGAGCTATTTTTGAATTTATTCAGTACCCTGTTACCTATTCATATTGATAAAATATTGCTTCCGGTCTTTCGTTAATATGTATAACATCCTGTGCAGAGATATGGAAATGTCTCACTACATAAAAGTAAAAAAAATTACTGTCATGGATGTATTGTGTATTTCTTAAATACACAAATAGGATTCAAGTCAATTATTCACTTTGACGGTGTAAAACTTTTGTTCAGTCCCACCTTGGTTTATTATGACTTTCCACTTTCTATTTTCAAGAGGCCACTGGTCTGAATGTAACAGTTAAGTGGATGGAGACTGTTTCAGGTGATTTACTTGACTTAGTTATCGACAGAGAACTTCGCCTGAGAACGTATCAGTTGAAGTTGACAAACTGAGAAAACATACATCAAAGTATAAGAAAGAAATGCAATGAAGCTACAAAAAACTGAGATATAAGAGGAACATTGCAAGCAGTAAAACGTCCTCAATGCTGTGAACGATTTTGAGCCATATAACCTAAATACTCCAAAATATTGCTTCCTAACATTCCAAGAACGACAACTAACTAGTTCACACATCCTTGTGCAGCTATGACTAACAGCTAGGCACTTCATCCATTACGATTATGACCTCGTCAACTTCGGCTAGCATCTCCCATTAGACTAGACGGTGACTCCCCATTCTAATGATATGCGCTAACCAATTCCGTTAATGAAGGTTAACCTAAATGCTTTCTTTGCTTATAGCTTTACACTCAACCTCATCATAATTGATTATATTACTCAGCCTAACGAGAAATACTCAAAGAAATATTGTCACAACCGTCTAATTTTTTCACATCAGTTTTCAGGAAACATGCCTCAAAACTTTAGGTAATACTAAGTTAACCACTGTGCAGAATGCACACCCTTCGACCGGTAGAGGAATACCACACTTGTACTAAAGTTGATGCAGGTTGGGAAACTACGAAAGAGTCTTTTGTATAACTACTGAGATTTCATCAGCGACTAGTTCGCTGCAGCTGATACAATAAATTTCAGCGAAGATTCCTCCTCTGAAGATACACAATTTATTAGGCACCTGGTAGATTATAGAGAAGGATTCTTCCATGCTGGCTTTGTGGCTGGTTTACATCAGATGGTCCAATATCATTCACTATAATGTATATATAACTGTAGAGCATGATGATGAAGTTATTGAAAAGAGTACTCTTTGTTCAGTATCCATTCTTTTGAAAAATAAATAATTTTCAGGAGTTTATTTGTAAGAATTAGATTTGTTTTTCAAGTTTGCCCACGGATTGATATCAGTTAGGTGAAACGAACGAATTTCGGTAGGAGAAAAAGCAGAATGAAGTTGGTAATAGAAGCTACCAATTATAAAATTATGCTCCCTCAATCTTTCTGTCTTCTAAATGTCTAAATGGGGATCTTTTCTATAATAAAATTATGCGACAACTAAAATTTTTTTACCACCCAGATGAGCCTTAGTTATTGTGTAATTACTCAATTTTCTACGGTGTCATGGTTGGCATTTTCAAATTAGCTAAAGGGTCCATCTTCACCCATCGACTTCATAAGTCACAGCATCCTGTAACAAGTCAGATAAAGGTAGATGATAGCGAATGAACACTTAATAGTTGTCTTCTTGCCTGGATAATTTGCATTGATGTCACTTAGTCATCAATGGTTCATGGGCCATTGAATCCGGTCCCAGTCGCTGGTGAGACATTACGACTGGAGACATCGGGATCATAATCACCAATGCTGATGCTGTTGTTATCCTGCTAGTTTTCAAACAATACCTTGTCATTCTGTTTATGTTAATTGAGCTATAACTTTTCTTATAAATTCACTTGATAAGTATATGTGTGATCGTACTGTTCCAAATCTATCGAGCCAATACACCATATTACACACATAATCTTTATCTTCTAATATTAGTGTTATTGTTGCTCCCTTGAGTTCCGAGTGGAACATAGGCCTTCAACAATGCATCTCCACTTTGTCCTGTTTTCTACCGTCCTCTTCAGGTGGGTATACGATTGACCAAACTCTCTCACCTCTTCCTCACACGATTTCCTCCACGTCACCGTAGAACGACCCACTCGTCGCTTCCCATTTGGATTCCACTCGAGGGATGGCCTGCATTGCACACGATGTCATTCGACAGTCTCCTCAGCGAATGACCAATCTATCTCCATTTTCTCCTACATATTTGTTGAGTGATCGGCTCTTGGTTGGCTTGTTCCCAGCCACAGTTTCTTGTTACTAATTCTTTCTGGCCTACTGATCGTATGATCTTCAGTATAGAGACAGCCAGGGAAGTGGATAGCTGTTGATGAAAGTCTGCAGTGGCCTGTTGGAAATCCTTTTCGTGACTCGCTCGCCAAGAT